TGAGTGATTGAGTGAGTGAGTGATTGAGTGAGTGATTGAGCTTATATACTGCCAGATTCAACCAAGGTGACTCCTGGTGGTTTACAACAGGCTGGGCCGAGTGGGCCGTTGTTTATAAAATCACAAGGAGAGCGGACAGAGAGAAACACTCTCATTCACCCAGTGCCACGATCTGTGGTAAAAGAAGGTCGAAGTGCAATGTCCCCCCTTAAAAAGTATTAGACTCCTTTCTGGAAGAGGAGGATCTCGTCGAGCAACCATGATTTGCTCTGATAGCTCGGTGAAATGTGTGTCCAGGGACAGAGTTCCTCTGAAGAGAAGGCAAAGTGCAAGCAAGGCTGAGTTGTTGTGTTCAAGGAACACTTTAACTCCTTTGAACTGCAAAGGACACACTTTAAGGGCTTTGGGCAGAGCCTAATGAAATCTCTGAAAACGGCCGGAATTCCCAAGTTGGTTGAGAGAGAAGTGTGTACAGGCTCCGTGGAACCATTTACCCTTCTTGCACTAACAGAAGCGGAATGCGTTTGTGCAGAGAGGAAGAAATGGGCAAAGCAAGCTAATAGATGGAGCTGGACTTTATTTGCACGGAGAGAGCAAATATGGCCCTTCCTGGGTGCTGGATTTGGGCAGGTTTCAAGGGCCTGGCTCTCCCTGCCCCTTCCTTTTGTTCTGCTATCTCGCCTTGCCAGCCTCCAAGGCGTGCTCTGTTGGCTGGCAGCTCCTGGGTGTTGCCCTCCTTGGGGATCTACGTGAGTCACACGACCCCCCACCCCACCCCCCAGGATATGCAGTCATGCGCTGCCCTGGGCTTTGGGGTGGCTGCTAAACTTTCCCCCAGTTCTCTGTGAACACAGGCTGAGCTGTGCCAGTGACCAATGAGATAAGTTACTTGCTGGCACCCACTCGAGTCTGCCCTGCCTGCCTAATCAGGGAGGAGGAGGAAGCCACTGCCCGCCCGCCCGCCCGCATACTCCAGGGTTCTCGCCGAGGAAGGCACGGCACCGGAGTTGGGCTTTGGCCCGGGCGTCTCCGGGAGGAGGCAGTGCCACTCATCTGGGAGTGTGGATTACACACGGAGCTGTATAATTTGGCTGGTGCGGGAGTGGGGGCGGGGGATGGACGGCCAGACCTGCGTCACCCTAAGTCTCCTTCAGTCCCTCCCTTACGGGCCGTGTCCCAGTAACGAAGCCAGGGCAGTTGAGAGAGGGTGTCATGTCTGAAAGTTGGAAGCCCGAAGGAGGGGTGCTTCGAGACACAGGTGGCTCGGCAAAGCCTGGCTCTGGGGGTTAAGACCCCTGGTGCCTACGAAGTAGCCTCTGAGGAGGGGGTGCTGCTCCCGGGCCTAGCCCTGCGGCTGGAGGTGCCCTCTGCAGGCGGAGGAGACAGCGCCAGGACGCGCAACAGCTCCAGAAGCCAACCCAGCCTTTCTGAGCAGCGGGCAGCGTCCAGATTTTTGTTGCATTCAAGGAGCTGTTTCAGCCCCTGCGCCCAGTCAAGGGGAGGGCCCTGTCCTGCACACAAGGCAGCTTTGCCCCCACCCCACAATGCTTCTGACATGCTCTGGATTGCCTTGCCAGTTGGGGGTGTTGGTTGAGGGCCTTGGAATCAGCGCCCAAGGGTGCGAGTTAATGTTTACAAGACGGGTGGCTTTTGCACCATATGGGGACTGTGACAACTCGCACAGTGTGCAGCACTGCAGGTAGCTGGTTGCAAAGGGGTGCTTAGGCAGACCCTCAGGCACAAGGGAATGCGAAAGTCCCTCCTCCCGTGTATTTCAGGGTGATCGTGCTCACTTGCACACGTGTCTCTATGGGAAGGGTGTGTGCAAAGGGTCAGAGTCAGAGGTGAGTCTAGCCCTGCTCTTGAACCTGGGTTTGGGGGGTTTCGGGGAGAGCACCACAGGCTCAGGGAGAGGGCTGGCAACCTGCTGCTGGCTGGGACCACAACAGGGACTGGCACATTCCATCTTGGGTGGTGGGTGGGCTTCTGTTTTAACCATATTATAAACCAAAGCTCATTCTAGGTTTTTCACTGCAGTTTTTGTGTGCTTCCCACCTAAAAACAGGAAGAACACATTGAAAGGTAGCAGTTTGGTTGGTCAGTGCTTTGGGGGCTGTGAAAGCCGGTTTGGGAGTTGCAGCCCTTGGCCAGTGGTTACCCCCCATCCTACAGCCAAGCAGGGACTCCAGAAGGTGGATTCTGTTTCCAAAGAACTTTTGGGGCTGAACTGATAAGGCTAGATGTACCTTTGGTATCCCCCCCCCCATTTTGGGGTCTTTAATCAGCTGTCAAGAGGTTGTGAAGAAATGCTAAGGCAGTGGTGGGAGGATTTCCAGAGATGAGAAGTGGGAGGGCCTGTCTCAAGGTATAAAGGTCTCCCTCTGGCTAGCGTAACCCTCCCAAATCGAGATTACCCTGGGTGCTGAGCACATTCTGCTTCTGCTACAGGTGAGCACAGAGGTTAGCCTGGAGGGGTCAGGCAGCAGATGGATGGTCAGAATCCAGGGGTGGCTCCAGGAGGGAGCAGTGGGCTTCAAAGGCTTCTCTCGCGCTTTGACATCCAGAATTTCATGATCAAGTTGCTTTCTTTTGCTTTATGTTTGAGCTTTCCACATGTACACCTGATTAATAGCAAAGGTCCAAATATGTTTTTCTCACATGTAAGTGTAGAAATTAACCAGTCCAACCAGCTGTCTGAAGCAGGTGTCTTATTCCAGCTGAGTGTCAATAGAAACTGGAACATCAACACTAAAGTTTGGGAGAAGAAGCACTATGGGTGAAAAAGAAAAGAAAGGGAAGGGAAGGGAAGGGAAGGGAAGGGAAGGGAAGGGGGAAAGGAAAGAGAAAGAAAGGAAGAAAAAGGAAAGAAAGAGGAAGGAAGGAAGGAAGGAAGGAAGGGTAGGGGAGGGAAGGGGAAAGAAGGAAAGGAAAGGAAAGGAAAGGAAAGGAAAGGAAAGGAAAGGAAAGGATTTCTAGCTTTTATGGTTGCCTCAACGTCTAGGAGGTAGAGGAGATGTTGGTAGGTAACCTTGAGTACAGGAACGTCATGGTTTGGCAAACATATCTGAGTTCCAGTCCTTTACTTTCTGGCCTTTAGAATGTGTTTATCCAGAACAGGGCTGCCGGTCTAGGTTGGAGACTGACCTTTGTTTTGAACAGTCAGAAAAGGAACACACGCATGCTCTCCTCATCAAGAGTTTTTGGAAAGTTCTAGGGCCATGTCCTCAAGAAGCGGCTCTGAAGACGACACTCTTGCTGGGCTTCTGTGATCAGTCAGGGATTGGCGGGTGCCCGTCTACGTTTCCCCTTGTCCGGTCCTAACAGTTGCGGCAAAGAGGTGCCTGTGGTCTCTCTCCCCTCCACGCCCTTGCCAGCAGTCAGTGGGGGAACACGGGACAGGCACCAAGGGACCCCTCGGCCTTTTCTCTGGACGTCAAGGCTGCGGCACTGACTCCTCGGACTGGAAGGGTCTTTTGCCAGCCGCTGCCAAGCAGGGGTGCTGTCGCTGCTCACCCCTGGCACTGAGCAGAGCGCCCTCCCCAGCCCCCTTGGTCTCTCCCTCTAAGTCAACAGGCAGGGAAAGAGTTATGATGTGGGGTAGCCTTTATCTTGCCTGTCTCCCTCACACCCACATGCTCCAGCTTTGCTTTTATTTGCCTACCTGTGGGTTCCTGAATAACAATGGTTTGCAGGGCATCACAGAAAATTAAGCTGAAAATCACAATCCCAACAAAGCAACAATCAGTCAATCAGCAAACAAAGCAACTCTGAAAACACAAAGCATTTCATACCAGCAGCCAGTTCAAAGGCAAAGTCTGAGATGCCCTAGTGGACTTCCAGGTCCTGAGCTCAGGGGACCTGGGAGAGCCTTGTGGGCTGCACAGCTTGGGGGGCTGGACCTTCTCCCCTCCTCTCGCGACCCTTTCCCTGCTCCCGAAGTCCTTTGTTTAGCGGACCGATGACCGCCCACCCAGCCGTCACCCGTGCCATGCTAGTGCTTCTTGTTCTTCGTTTATACTGTTCAGATATTTTTGTTGCGTCACAGCACTGAACAATGTTCATTTTCCTAATGCCCTTTCTGTCAGTCCCGTGCATCTGTTAAAAGGGCATGCTGGGTAGAAAACACAGTTTTAGATGTTTAAATTCACATGTTAACATTTCCATCACCACTCCCCAAAGCAGCAGCTTGTATTCACACTGCTGCCCCCGGGCTCCCTTCCCCATATTGAAACACACCCACTTGCATCTTCAGGGCTGAGAACGCAGAGGGGAACTTTGCTCTGTGGCGATCTCTGGCCCCTGGTGTTTGCATGTTTGGACTGGCTTAATGGTTACCTTCTTGCTGCCCAGCAGAGCTGCCACATTCTCTATTGGGTTGGGCTTGGGGAGCACTTGGGTTGAATATGCCGATCTTGCCCGGGGTATGTGGGCATTGTGCATCCTCCTCCTCCTCCTCCTCCTCACTGCTTCTGCATTCCAGATATTTCAGCATTGAGTCCTGTTGCTATTGGGAGGCCGAGAAGCTTGAAGCCCCACGGGCCCATGGCCATGCCTGCCAGCTCCTTGACCCTGGGCTTTTCCAGGCCCCGGCAGGCTGCGTGCGCATGTCTGACGGTGGGGAGGGCTGGGAGAGAATTCCTGTCCGCTGGCTGGTTCCAAGGCCACCTATTCCGTCTGGGGCTGCGGCTCCTGCACTCCGGGCAGGCGCACAAAGGAAGGGTGTGTGTGTGTGTAAGGAAGGATGCTCTGGAACAGGGTCAGCCTTTCTAACTGAGGGTCACTTTGTCTTCAGCCAGCTTGGCACTAGATTCCAGCACTGACTTTGCACCCCGGAAGGAGATGCCAGTAGCCTCCGTTTTTGTGGAACATGGTACGGCTGACGCCAAGTGGCGTCATGGCTGAGGCAGCTGGCCTGTGTCCGGCGTCCTGACCTCGGGGCCCAGGGGGGCAATTAGCCTCGGGCAGCTGCCAAATCTCTGAGGGCCCTGGAGGTGACCCCCCCCCAGCTTAGGGAACTTTCTCCCCCGACCCTGGGAAGGCTCCACGAGAGAGGATCCTTGCTCCTGGCAGAGCGTGGGACCAGGTGCTGAGGCTGCCCGGAATGCCACACACAGGGACTTTGTTTGGCCAGGGTGGGCGGAAGTCCGGACAGGCGGTCTGAATTCTAAAGTGTGTTGTTTGGGGGCTGATAAAGGGCTTATTGTATGCAAAATAGTTTATAAAGCAGCATATGACTTTCTCGAGATGGGCAGAGTCTGCGGGAGGCATTTGCCTGTAGAGGGAGCCTGCGGCTGCCTTGGAAGAGAGCTGTTCCCCACGGCAAGGTAAAGTCCTGGCTGGGAGACCCGGTCCTCACCCCTGTAAGGGTGGGAATGAATCAGGCTGCTGGCTCGACCGGGAGGTATTGGGAGCTCTCAGGAGTGGGGAGGGCGGGGGCAGAGCAGAGTCTTGGGGAGGGTGCCAAGGCTGTGCATCCGGAGAAACCCACCACTTCCGGAGCTCTCCCATCTGATTTTGCAAGGCTGCTAGCAAAAGAGGACATCTGTCATACCAGCTGCTTTTAAATCAGTTGGGCTTAGCATAAGCTCCCCAAACCTGGAAAAATTGCTTCCCAAGATATTTTTAAAAATTTATCTTCCCATAACTGTTCATCAGCATGCACGGCCAGTCAATACAGCGGCTGTGTTGGGGCAGCCCGGTAAGGCCCCCTAATGAATTTCTGGCAAAGGGAAGCGCCCCCAACCCGGTATGCAATCCTGGGAATGCATGATTGTGCTTCTGAGCTTGAGAGCGCATGGATGTCGCCATCGATCTCCAGGACATGGGGTGGCGCGAGGCTTGCCTTTAACCCTTTTCGCAGAAAAGAATCTGGAATCTGAGTTTGCTGTCCTCTCAAGAAAGGGGTCAGCGAATGCTGTGCTGGGCTACGGGGCGCATCTCCTGGGAAGGGTTGGGGCCACCCCGTGTGCCAGGCTGCCCAGGTCCATCATCCTGTCCCAGCCGGACCAGAGAAGCCTGGCCGGGCCCAGCAGAGCTGCTTAGGCGTCCGGGGCATGTGCAGCCCACTCTTCTGAGCAGACCATGCCTCTCGCAGCAATGGGGCAGGCAGGTGAGAGTGGGATCACCCCACAGGGAATACGCAGGAGCCCAGGAAGAAGAGGGGATGATTGTGGGGGAGGCATCTCTTCAGCAGCAGCCCCGTAGAGGGACAACCCATGCCAGCTCATGGATTTGGTGGCAACTGCCAAAGGAAGCTGGTGAAAGCTGCCAGTCCTTGTAGGTGTTGGCAACCCCATTCTGACCGCAGGATCATGCCAACACTTGAGTCATCCCTTTGAGGTAGGCCAGGTCAAACAGGAGAAGTGGCAGAGATTCTGGGAATGTGCTTTGTTGTTGTAGGGCAGGAGAACAATTTCTCTCTGCTTCATCTTATCTCAAACAAAATGAAGGCATGATCGAGTCTCCTCCCTTACCGCTTGATTGTCCCTTCCCCTTGCCAAGGCCAGATCTCCTTTCTTTCGCCCCTCATCCCTTTTCTCCCCAACGCTGCTGGAATTTGCCCAGCTTTAGTAATGCTGTCCTGTTCTTGAATTGCAACTCAATGTTTCCTTGTACAACAGATCGATCAAGGTACTGCCTATGCAAGGCAGAGCAACCTGGTGCCAGGTGCCAGGTTGGCTGGAGCCACGTGAAGGCCACCAGTTGGGAATGGTGGCGTAGTACAACCCTGGGGGCAAATGGCACCCAGACATTTCAGAAAGCATGGCTGCAAACAGCACTGGGGAGGAGAGGTCGAGCCTTTGTTGGTGCAGGGTATGCTCCATTAGGCTGGTTAGAAGAAACGACTCATTTTCAGCAGTTGTATTTATCACCATGGGGTGGCTTGTGGCAATGTAAGAAATAAAACAAGAAATAATGCAAAGTAATTAAGAAGCAACCCCTCGCCCAAACGCCCCACATTGACATTCAGGACTCTCGCTTTCAGAAGCCTAGAAGAGGCTCAGCTTCAGGCCAGCCTCTGGCTTCTCTGTCTTAAGGGAGTGGTGATCGCTGGGGAGCACACGCTTGCTATTTGCACGCCTCACTCAGCAAAACGGAGGAGACGGATGCCCATAGCTTGGCCTGCTCTGACCCGCTTCAGCCCTTTCCTTTCAGGTGTGAGGAACAATGAAGTGGGAAGGCTTCTATGCCCTTGTCATCGGCGTGAACCGCCACTCCACATCCATCGGCCGCATCTGGCTCTCCGTGGTGTTTATTTTCCGCATCATGGTGCTTGTGGTAGCCGCAGAAAGCGTCTGGGGTGATGAGCAGTCTTCTTTCACCTGCAACACGCAGCAGCCCGGCTGCAAGAACGTCTGCTACGATTACTACTTCCCCATCTCTCACATCCGACTGTGGGCACTGCAGCTTATCCTGGTGACCACACCAGCCTTGCTCGTGGCCATGCACGTGGCGTATCAGCAGCACCAAGAAAAGAAGCTCTTGGTGATGACAGGCCACGGGGACACCAAGCACCTGGAAGAAGTCAAGAAGCACAAGATGCGCATTTCAGGCTCACTGTGGTGGACCTACGTCTGCAGCGTCCTCTTCCGCATTCTCTTTGAAGGCACCTTCATGTACATCTTCTACATGATCTACCCTGGGTACCAGATGATCCGCCTGGTCAAGTGCGATGTCTATCCCTGCCCCAATACCGTTGACTGCTTTATCTCCCGGCCCACTGAGAAGACCATTTTCACCGTCTTCATGCTGGCCACTTCCGGCATCTGTATTATCCTCAATGTGGCCGAAATGGTCCTCCTCATAGTGCGAGCCTGCGCCCGGCGCGTCAGCCGAAGCCGCAACCCTTCCTCAGGAAAGGGCTCCTTTCTGGGGCACAAGCTGTCTTCGGAGTACAAGCAGAACGAGATCAACCAGCTGCTGACAGAGCAGGACAGCTCCCTCAAGGACATTCTCCGGCGGAACTCGGGGCTCCAGGAGAAGAGCGACCGCTGCTCAGCCTGTTAAAGGCCTCCGGTTGTTGGTGGGTCTCTTGGGTTCTGGCCTGACTGGAGAGCAGAGGGCTCTTCGCTGCCTGCCTTGTTACTGTACTGCCTCAAGCCCTGCCGGAGCAATTTTTGTCTTGTCGGGGCCCCTTCTCACCCCTGCTGTTCCCAGCTACGGCTTCCTCTTCCCTCCCCTCGGCTTCTAGGCCTGTGGATTTTGCAGGTGCAAGGTTAGCCGATAGGATGCCCTGGTCACAGCCTGTGGTCTCCAACTCGGCTTCTAAGGTCACTGCGGGCCCCTTCCAGCCGGGAAACCCCAGCAGCCACCGCTGCCCAGGCTTCTTCCTGCTGTCCCTCAGACCTGGCCTCCTCGCCCCCCCACTCCCCAGCACCCGTCTGGTACTTCTCATTGCTTTGTCCCTCCCGGGGACAAGGACAAGTGAGCAGCGCATTTGAGATGCTGGGCTTTAATTCACGTATTGCGTCTTCAAAGGAAAGTCTCCACCTTTCTATTTAGTCCTGAGGATCCTACGGTGCCACATTCAGAAAGGTTATTTTGAAACGCACCAGCAATTCAGAGTGTTGCCTCTGCTCCCCTCTGGTGCTTTCCGGCCCAGCAGATGTTCTTTTCCTTGCACTTGCTATCCTGGGTCTGCCAAACCAAGTCTGCAGCAGCCCCCCCGCCTCCCGGAATGCAGGTCGGTCAGTTTTGAGTGGTAGGATTCCCGTACCGTGAACAGGTAGAACACGACTCTGGCTGGGTGTGCAGCTGCTGACGGGCCAAGAGCTCCTTCCCTGGTCAAGGGGGCTGCCTGGCCAGCGAGCAGGATTCCGTCTTCCGGCAAGAGGACTGGTATTGCTGGCTGCATTTTGTTGTACCAAAGCAAGTCACAGTATTAAAATGATTTTACAGGTCCTGGCTTCGGTGGTTTTTCTTTGGAGCTTTCACCACAGCTGCTCACTCTGGCTCACAGCAACCGTGCCACCTCAGCACGCGGAGAGTCGCCTTACCTGGGAGATTCCAGTTGCACAGTAGCAGAGGAGACCCTTCTCCGGTTGAATTCCTTACAGGCCACTGTTTCCCCGAGAAGTGCAGCAAGCGAGTGGGAGGAATCTTCCTTTCCCTTCCTCGGTCATGGCTCTAGCAAAAGGCTCCTGCCCGGGGGGCCTAGGCAGGAAGGGGGCAAGGAGGGAGGACCCTCGCCCTGTGGGGGTGGGAGCAAGCTGGCGTATTCCAGGCATCCCCGGCTCGTCAGCCAAGGAGAGGCTGTGAGTTCCGCAGAGATTAGGCTAAAGGCGCAAGCCAGCAGGATGGCCTGGATTCCCCAGGGCGTGCTGCAAGGCCCCATTTGTTGTGGGGTAGCACCTAAAGGCAAGCCTCCCCCCAGTGAAATAAAGGCAGATGAAGCCATAGACACCGTGGCAGAATGCCAAAGGGAGCTTGGCAAAGCTCCAAGGGCATCCGAGCTTCCTTGCTGGGCGAGGAAGGCCACGGCTCCGCTGGAAGGAACAGACTCCATGAAGTGTCTCGGTCACAATGGTGCCACCGGGACAGCTGCACCTCCCAGGACGAAAGGCCACCTAGGACTGGACCCGCTCGATCCTGGACCCTCTGGAAGAGGCGCCGTTTGTGCAGCTCAGCTGAGGTTGACTTGGGGGTAGGCTTGTCCATTATCTCCCCTGGCAGCTTGCCCAGGTCCAGGGATAGCACGGCCACTTGGAGTCAGCCCTGGCCAGATGCAGCGGTCGTCCCGTCCTTCCTTCCTTGTTCTCCAGAACGTCTGCTCGCCACCTTGTCCCAGATTCAGGCCGCAGCAGACTGACTCTCCCCCCGGGCAGGAATCCTGTCTGCCAGGTGAATTTCAGAGGCACAACGCCCCCTTCTACAAACCAACCCATCACATTCCCTGCTCAGCTTGACCCAGGCTTGTTTCCTGCAGGCCAAGATGCCATCCAGAGCCTCAAAGCAGATCTCCTTCTCTTACAGGGCATGCCAGCTGGGCAAGATGGTGGCCATCTGGCTGGCTGTGCTCATTTGCCACATCTGCCTTGGAGCGGCCATGGAGGCTGGCTGCGGCTAAATTGCCCTGCTACAGCTGGCCTTCCTTCTCTCGCCCATCTGCTTCTTGGCTCTCTTCACACCCAGCTTTGTCAACTGGCTGCTCTCACACTGTGCCTAGGAGGTCAAGGAGGGTCAAGGTGGTGGCCTTCCTGGTGGCCCTGCAGCTCGGCTTGGGATCAGGGCCACCACCACACAGGGGGTCTGAGGCAAGATCCACCTGAGAGGAGCCAGGTTTGCTGGATCTTCTGCGAGGCCCTCTTTGAAGGATGCTTCATGGCTGGGCCCCACTTCCTGACTGCCACTTTACCCCCGTTTCTGCTGGTTCTGTCCAGTCAAAAGCGACATCTCCTGGCCCGTGGAGAAAACACTTGTTTTCAGGCCAGCCATGGTACAACTCTCCTGCTCAGCATGGAGATCTTATCCCCTGGCCACAGCCACGCGCAGGTCGGAGGGGTTGCTCCAGCAGCTCAGACACCCCTGGAGGCAGAATGTCAGCCTCTACTTGCCCTAAGACCTGAGCTGTTCTCCCCATAGCCTCTCTCTGGAGGTCAGCGAGGAAGGAACCTGGGCTGAGAAGGGACAAAGCTGCTCCACTTGGGGGCAGGAATCCAGAAACGAGGCGGCCAGTCCAGCAGATTCAGCCTTCCAAGGAGACGGGGAAACCGGGCCATTTAACAGTAGCCACGCTTGTGAGAGGCTCCACAGACAGACGTGCTGCCTCACCACCATCACCCGCTGTGGGCTTGGCCAGGAGGAAGACTTGGAAGCGAGCAGCCCTGGAGCAGGGAGCCTCTGCTGTCCTTTCTCTCTCTGCCTCTGCCGCAGAAGGCTTCTCCACACTGCTGCCTCCTGAATGAAGGGAAACGAAGGGCAGGGATGGACGCCAGCAGCCTTTGCGATGAGGGCTCCTGTGGGAGGGGCACCCAGCTGGGGCTACGCTTTGCCCGCGTTCCTGATGCCCTTCTCTCTCAGCCCAAGGGCAGGTGCAGCTGGAACGCCTCCTCTGACCTGTGGCCACCAGATGCCTGGGTCTTCAACTCCTTCCAGCTTGCACAGCCACTGAAGTCCGCCGGAGGGCACCAGCTCGGGAAAAGCCGGTGCATGGCTTGACTAGACCACGGTGGCGGCTCTGGAAACTCCGAGGTGACCTGCCGCCCCCTAACGGCCAAAGGGTGAGAAGAGCATAGTGGGAGATGGATGCCCCATAAAGCAGATCTGGGGTGCTGGCTGCCCCCTTGGCCTCAACTCCCTCTACGCTCATCTCTGGGGCCACAGCAACACGCCTTCCTCCCTGGCTGGAATGAGCCAAAACAAGAGAGAGGTTTTGTGCCTTTATTTGAAATGAATGGTTTCCAGAGAGACGCAGGAAGGGCAGGGAGCGGGTCCTAACGCCCGGTTATCACAACGCGACAATGAGGCCCGCAACTGGCTCACTGGTGACAAGGACACTGCAGGGGCTGGGCCAGAACAATATATATACAGGCTCAACGAACGGCACCACCACCACCAGCCATAGCTCAGAGTTCAACGCCACACACACAGATGGGGGAGGAGGGGGGTCTGGGTGCCAGGCAGCCTCTGCCCCCCTGGAAGAGGAGCAGGCCAGGGCCAGATGTCAGCGGAAGGTGCAGGCTGCCATCTATGGGGAGGAGGCTAGCAGCACCCCCACGAGACAATGTGCCCGTCAGGAGCCAGCCCCCTCCCCTCCCCTCCCCTCCCACGGCTGGAACCAGGCAGAGGTCTGGGCTTTCAAGCCAGCCTTTGGCCCTCCCAGGGAACTCCCCCTCCCAAGTTGAGAAGCAGCCTGTAACCCCCTTCCCTGCCAGTCTGGGGCGAGAGGCCAGGAGACAAGGCCAGCCAAGCAGGGACCCCCAAGAAGCATGGGGAGGACGCAGGCACTGGGTGACCGTTCGCCAGGATGGAAGTGGCGGCGGCAAAGTCCTCTGTGCCCATCCACCCAGAAAGGGAAGGACTGACAGGCAAGCTGCCCCCTGGTCCCCACAGCTGGGGGGGCAGCTCCGGAGCCCACCTTCTCCCATGGCGCGGGCGGACTGGGTCAGTCCATGTCGTCATCCAGGCCGCCACCCCCACGGCTGTGCTCCTCGTAAATCTCGCGGACGGCCAGGATACGGTTCAGCATGCTCTCGAGCATGCTTTTGTCCATGGGGATGACCGAGTACCAGAGCGGAGACTCCGCGATGCACGAGCGCTCAGGCTGCAAGTAGAAGACATCGTTGCGGCTCCGGAGGCTCTCGGGGCTGCAGATGGAGGGCGGACAGATGGGCAGTCAGAGGAGCGCCGGGCGTTTCTCAGGGGAGAGGGTCGGAGGGCCAAGGCGGGACTCGGCTCCTCCCGAGGTCCTCCCGGCTGGTCACGGAAAGGCCACGGCCAGCAGCCCCCGCCCCGCCATCCCAGCCAAGGCCTCACCATTTGGAGAGGTAAAACTCGTAGAACTTGACTGGGCAACGCAAGGGATTCATGCGGTTCTCTCGCTGCTCCAGGACTGGCATCTCCTCCTCCCGCTTCCGCTTGCCAAGGCTGCTCTCTGCAGTGAGGGGCAGCACGGGCAAGGTCAGAGTCAGACTGGGCACGGGGAGGGGGAGAGCAGAAGAAAGCGTCCCCTACCTCGCCCCTTCCGGTGCCGCGCGGGAGCGTAGTAGCGGATGCTCACGACCTTGGCAGAACCCCGCGGCGTGGTGCACTTGCGCGACTGCCGCACCACGTTGGTGAAAGAGAGCTGCATGTGCTCCTCGGCTGTCTGCAGCCCAAAGAACTTGGTGTTGAAGAACATCAGGGTGTTGAGGAGCACAAACGGGGAATAGACGCCCAGCTGCTTGCACTCCCAGAGGTGCTCCTCTTCCACGCGGGAAAAAACAGTATCTGTAAAGGCACAGGCCGCAGCAAGCCGTGAGGAGGGAGGTGGGTGGGTCAAAAGCAGACTGGCGTGTGGGGCTCGGGTCCTGGGCTCCAGGGAGCCTTGCGTACCCAGATGCCCCCAGCAGAGCAGGCATTTCAGGGAGCCCAGGATGGCTCCCTTCAGGCCCAGGGGGGAGGCCGCTGCCGCGCCTGCCTGTGCTGCAACAGCCAGGAATGCCACAAGCTACACATTCTAAGCCTTTTGAGCTTCCACCCAGTTTTTACAACTCTTGCTGAACGTGTTCCAACACTGGTCCGAGCCATACTGGTAGTGTTTCAGGCTCAGAACAGCTCTGGAAAACATTGTGCAAGGTCCGAACAACCCTTTGTGAAGCTTGCAATCTTTCAGATTTGAAATGGTTTACAGTTACTCCCAATGCTCTCTCACCCTCTCAAGTCTGGCACAACAACCCAATGGTCTTCACCCCCTCAAGGCTTCCTCATCTGAGGATGCAGCAGAACTTCAACTCATAAATCCAAGCCTGCGGGGAGACCTGACCAACCATCCTCTGCCATGCCTGGCCCTAGAAGGCCGGTCCCTTCTGCAGCCTCTGGCCACCTGCATTTCCACGAGGGCACCCTCCACCCCTTGGCCCCCAGACACTTACTATTGGGCAGGACTGTGGGCTGCCAGCCGCTTAGCATCTTGTTGAGTTCTTGCACAAAAGTCAGATAATAGAGGTCCGTGAAGATATTGACCATGCGGTTGTTCTCCAACAGGTACTGGAAAAGGGTGAAGGATCACAAGGTCAAATAGGCAGGGCCCAATCTGCCTCGCACGTGCCCCTCCTCCCAGGGACAGAGATCTCCCGGGCTAGCTGAATTCTTCAGAAAAACAGCTCAAAACTCTCCTCTCCAGGGTCCTCCCTACCACAGCTGCAGTTTGCAAGCTTTTCACGGCTGCAGCGATGAAATGGCTTCTTTCTCAGCGCACAGAAATACAACAAACGGCTCACCAGGGAAATGGTCGGTCTGCCCCACTGGCTGCCTGAATAAATCAGAGTGGGTGCGTGGCTCTTGGGGGTGGGGCTGAGAGAAACCCCAGCAGAGAGGAAAGGGCCCCCTGTCCATGGCAACGGGGCCATCCCCACGATGGGCCAAGAGGGAGAGGGCCTGACTGAGGACCAGGCTCCTTACCTGCTGTATTCCCAGGCACAGGTAATAGATGCTGTCCGGCTCGTAGCGCTCCCCGTTGGGCCGGGTGATTTCCTTGACAAACTGGGCCAGGCCATAGTTCAGCTCCGCAGCCGTACAGGCCAGGATGTCTTCTTTGATCCGCATGGGCTTGGCTGTGGGGACAGCAGCAGGCCAGGCTTGCAAATGACAGCAGGCGGGGACACCCCAAGGTGGGGACACCCCAAGGGCCACCCCTGCCACCCGGCCTTCCTCTCCGTGTGTCCCAGACTTACGGCCAAAGCGCAGCTCGTCGCCCTTGCTCGTTTCACCCCCCGCGTACTTGGCTTGCACCCAGCTCTTCCAGGCATTCACCCCGTAGGAATAGTTGAGGGCTGTGCAGCCGGGCTGGCTGTTCATTGAATCCCGCGAGCAGCTCTCCGAGAGCACCAGGCGCTTCTGGCCCTGCAGGAGGGAAGAGGGAACAGCGGGGGAGCTCCCTGGTGAGATCAGCACTGCGAGGAAATCTGCCAAGAGCTGCCCAGGAACCAAGGGCCAGCCGCCTAGCACCTTGGGAGAAGTCCGGGTCCTTCTGCGGTAGCCGGTGCTGCCTCCTCCTACTTTGTACTAATTTAGAAAAGCCTTTCTACAGGTATTACTCAGACCGAAAAAAGTATTATAAAAGTGTCTTTTCCTCCATGCCAATTGCATGCAGTGCCTTCTGCGGTAGGACCCTCTTTGCAGAAGATTCTCCCTGGGGAGACGTGATGGATGGGAGCTATTTGGTTTGCAAGCGTTTTAAAGTTTAAATTGCCTTTTTTAGCTTACGTTAGGTGAATTTTTTAATACTGTATTTTGATAGGATTTCATGCAGCTTGTAATTAAATCAGAAAACTACTTTTCATATCAGAAGGTTATTGGTAGAAAAATCCTTTCACTAAAAAGTCAAGAGCTTTTACAGTGACCACGCTGCCCTTATTCCTGCCAGCCATCTACTTGATCCCTGCTAGCAGCATCCTAGCCTCAGCTCTTTTATAAAACTGGCCCAGAAAATGCTACTTACGGGCCCAGCTCCTTGTTTAACAAATGACGCCCCAAGGCACAGCCAAGAGTGACTCTCCAGCTGAAGGCCAAGCTCCTCTATCACAAGGTCCTTTCCAGCAGCGATCCCAGGTGGGACCTACCTTGCGGATTGAGCGAGGCAAGTCTTGATCTGCAGAAACGTCATCTGGGCCCACCAGGCCGCAGTCAAAGAGGAAATCCACGCTGGGGTTGATGTCCAAGGGGTCTGCGGAGAGAGCAAAGCAGCTTGGTGGAGGAGGCTGGTTCCGAGCACACCCTTCCTGCACACCAGGTCCCACCCTTCGCAAGTGGAGAAAGGAGAAGCAGGGGACCTCTTCCAGTGGGAAACCCCCCGCCTTGGACCCAAGGGAGATGCCACCCCCTCCTGACTTTCCCCTCAGTGCTATTCCAAACCTGTCCAGCAGGGAGGCAGGGGAACCGTGGCGGAGACATCAGCAGTCCTTCTCGTCAAAGAGGGGCCAGCCACTCCTGCATCCCCCACCCCACCTCCTGCCGTTGCCCTTACTTTTAGGGAAGTCAGCCTCCAAGTCCTGACCCGGCTCATCCAGGACGTTTGCCATCTTGACCGCCATGGCCAGCACATCATCCCGGGCTGGCCCAAAAAGGTCGCAGTCCTCCAGGAGGCCCTCTGCACTCTGGTTACTCACCAGGTCTGTGAACAGAGAAGGGGGTCAGGCCTCCACTCTGTCTTGGTGTCACTGCAAGCCGGGTACTTTTTTTACCAGCCACGTCAAGGATACTTGACGAAGGCAGGGATGGAGAATCCCAGGCCTTCCCCACATGCTCCTCAGCCTTCTCCTCCTTTCCTGACCACTCTGCTATTTGCAGAAGCAGAGACTTTAAGAACAGCTTTTAAAAATCTTAGATAATTAGCACAGGATGGGCGGACTGGACAAATCCTCTCCATATACTGCTGCTCTCACCCTCCATCCCCAACAGAAACCTCTCCACCACATGGCAAGAAAATGAGGAAACATCTAATGGAGGCTCTTTTGAAGCTGAATCGTTATTTGTGTAAAAAAATGTAGAAAAGGTGGTAGAAAGACCCAGAGAGAGAGAGATCCCACCCATTTGCCTTCCCTCTTCCACCCCTCGCTGGCTGGACAAGCTGCCTCAACAGAATGCATGTCTGCAGCCTCAAAGATTTCCTGAATGCCAGAGAGCCATTTTCTTCCTCTCCCTGTTAATCCCTTTCCGACCCCTTCCCTTCTCTCTCCTTGCTGCAAACTCCCCGAGAGGCTCTAATGTGAATATGAACATTTGGATGCAGACGTACATCATCCATGGCTGTGCCTTTCCCATGCCCAGGAGAGTATCTGTTCCTGGCACAGCAGATCCTTCCCCAGGATCCCCTCTTGACTGGCAGAAGGGCAGCGCTGCACATCAGCTGCCCCTGCGGAACCTACCGCACAGGTCTGATGAGGCTTTGTCTAACTCTTCGGCCTCCGCAATCATCTCGGCCATGGCCAGGATGTCTGCTTCCAGGGGATTGGAAGGGATTTTCACCTTCAGCTCCTCAATCGTCTCCACAATTTTCTCCGTACTCTCCAGGGTGGTGGGCAGAAACATTGGCACAGGAACCTGGAGGAAGTGACGGGTCAGGGTACGGCAGGGCAGGGAAGCATGCACACGCTACGGAGAGAGAAAGTCATACTCACTGGGACCGGCATGGAGAAAGGCACCGGGACTTTCTGGCAGTACATGTTCATGGGCACGGGCACGAAGACTGGCACCGGGATTGGCAGCACAATCACCTGAGGCTTCCAGTCGTCCTCTGTCAAGAAGAAAGCAATCAGCAGGTCTTTGCCAGCATGCCCAGCTCCCCCCCATTCCCAGCCTGGGACAACGCAACGTTTCCCTCCCTCCTTTCCTTCCTCTCAAAGCTCCAAGGGAAAGAGTGGGCTCAAACCACCTCCCCCTCCTCTCCCCAGTTAGCAGCTCTCAGGCCAGGAGGACCTGCCCCTGAGAGCAAGGTGGCTCTAGGAAGGGAACCCCATCGGCAGATTCCTCCTGGGTGCCCCCAGCACCCTCTCTCACCTGTCTGGCACCCCTTGGACTTCATCTCTATCTTGCATGAAACCCCTCGGTTCTGCATGAGAGGCTTGCACATGGCTGCCTTGTTCTTCCGGGGGGTGACTGGCTGAGGTGGCAGGGGGGGAGCTGACGCCGGTGAGGGGGGGGTGGCCTTGGCAGTCCCCTGTGGAGATCCAGACAGGATAGGTGTCAGCAGCCAGGGAGGAAAGCCCTTCTTCCTGCCAGCCACAATGCTCCCGTGCCCTTCCATGCCTCCGCACCGCGCAGAAGCAGGCATAATGCCTTCCGAGCCAAACCCAAGCCCCAGGAGCATCCTCCCCTCCTACCCCCAGGCAGTGCAGCTGGGTTGCCTGAGACACTCACCACGCTGGGCTCTGCTTTCTGAGTGGTGGCAGAGGGCTGCTTTGGCTCTGGGGTCTGACCTGTGGAGAGAAAGAGTTTGCAGGGGTGAGGGCTGTGGCTTCTTCAGGACTTGCCCTGCCCTGCCCTGCCCCGCCCAGGACATCAGAGACCAGCCGCCTTCCGGGGGTGACGTGACAGCAACGGTTGGCCTGGGCCCTCCTTTATCCAGGTGTGCGGCCCTTCTCACCCTAGAAATAAATGCCCGGACAGCAGGAAGAGAAGCCACAAATATCCTCATCAGGGAGCACGCCAGTGCCTGGGAGACCAGAGGTACGTTTCTAAGTCTTGGCAGGTGTATGGAACCACGGCCGGGGGGGAGAGAACTGGAGAACCCTCCCAACACTGTAATTCAGTCCTCTGCTGGAGTCCGGAGCTACCCATCGATCGTTTCAGTAGGAAAACACAAGGCTTATTCTAGCCAGTTGGAGAGCCAGCAGTGCAAACCACGGCATGAGAATAGTTTAGGTCTCCGTCCCGTGGGAGACCCACTTTTATACCCTGGACCCTCCATTAGCAACACGATAGCGTTTCTACTAACCTGTCACAGAGCAACCCCACCAAAGCTGGTACTCACTGTGGCACATTCGTTTAGGCATTCAAAAACTAATTCCTAGCTTTAGGACAAACAAACATAACTATGCAGATGAGTATATTTTGTGCAATTCGTACATTAGCTATAAACAGCTCACTTCCTTAAGGCAGAGGAGCACAGCAGCCCTTCCTAATTTGGGCAGCCTCCAGATGTGTGGACTTCAACTCCCAAAATTCTTTTGCCAGGCCCGCCAGCTCTGAGAATTGTGGACATGAAAATCCATACATCTGAGGGGCACCAGGTGGGGGAAAGTTGGCGTGAGGGTTGTCAGAACAGTTAGCTTTGGCTGTATGAAGGAGAAGGAAAGGAGAACCCCACCCACTCCAGCCAGCACCCCCAGCATTTATTCATCTATTTTTTATTTATCAAATTTATATAGCCACCCATCTCACAAGAAGTGACTCTTACTTGTTAAAAAGTTACTATCTAGTTAGGATGCTGCCATTCTCAAAGGCTGTGAGTAGCTAACGATCGAAAACATCAATAATAATAATAATGCTGCTGCTGCTGCAAAAGGCAGCTTTACTTGGAGCAGCTTCTATCCTGCGATGATACCTTTAATGCCATCAAACCACGACATCTGCCTATCCCAGGTCCTTGGGAAGGACTCAATAGGTGAACAAAAAAGCCCAATCCAGGCTAACCATCTGGATGACTGTGCGACCAACCACCACCACCACCATCCTCATCATCCTCATCCCACCTAAGAATAAAAAATCCCAACAGCATCATGAGGGACAAAGTAACACATACGGTGCCCTTTCCCTGCTAATACATCCCAACCCTTATAACACGCCTTCCTCCTGGAATAGATGGAAAGTCAGGTTTTAACTGCTCTCCTGGACCCCAGGAACAAAGACCTCCATAGCAATGGAGCACCAAAGTGTTCCACTTTGACAGCAGCCAAACCTGATTTCCCAGGTCCATCAGATGGCATTCTCAAGTTCATGGGACCAGGAGGAAGTTGACCCTGTTTGATTTCATTGGATGAGCAGAGAAAGGACTTATTATCTACTTAATTTTAGCAGCTAAAATAATTTTTTTGTCCCACACTGGAAAGTGTTAGATGTCTTAACAACTGAGATGTGGATAAACAAGGCCTCTTCAACTGCCACATTAGAAAAGATTATGGATAAAGTTAAATTAATGAAACACCAGAGGCAGGAACCACAATTCATCAAATTTGGGTGGATGTTATGTTATCTCAACTGCCACAGACCTACTATTGATAGCATTTGAGATATATGGCAAATGTAAATAAGCATATTATGTGTCTTATCTACTTTTAACAGAATTTAACTTTGTATACCTTTTTTCTCTATGTATCATGTATTAATGTCACTCAGTTACTTGACAATGTTTGTTAACTACAGTTTAATAAATAAAAGTTAAAAAAATTGGATGAGCAGAGAAATAAGGGAGAAGGAGGTCTTGCAGATAACAGGAGCCACACAGTGCCTGAAAGGTGACAACCAGCACCTTTTCCCAGCACCTACCGGGAAGCCAAAGGGCAAGCAGAGCTCTCAAAGCAGAGGGGTTACCCAAGTATATCACGATACACCCATCACTGCCCAGGCTGCCACTGTAGAGAGTAAGGAAAATGACCTTGATGGAAATATGCAAGCTCTGTTGCCAAGGCGATGAGGGGTAAAACATATTTTAAGTCCACAGCAGACAGATAATATTCGGAAGAGGCTCAGATGGACACCTCTCTAATTCACTGAACTGTAAGGAGGAGGGAGGAGGAGGTAGAGCATAATCAGACTTGCAAGAATCTGTTACTATAGCCAATCTCAATAAAAGTAGTTTTAGCATTCCTGTGGCGTTGACTTCTTGGTGTGGTATACCCAGACAGCCTCATTCTGTACCACTGTACCTTCAAAATGCTTTTTAAGAGCAACCCAAACAATACAAATGTAATTAAGTAAATAAACCCCATGTAGAATGGGTTACATTAATCCAAACGGGAGGTGGCCTATGAGCAGGATTTCCTAGTCCAGGAATGGCCACAACTGGCACACAAGACATACTATGCAAAAGCCCTCCTGGGCACAGCTGCCACCTGCCTCTTAAGCAGGAGTGGTAAGTCCAGGAGCCCCAAAGTGCGGGCCACCTCTGAGCAAGGGAGTGCAATAAAGATGTTGCTACCCTGGAATCATCTGGTCCACAGACCCAAAGTCACTCCATTTTGGAGGAATTCCGTTTGAGTCTGTTCCTTCCTATTGACAATTCTGCCACACTGCCTATCTGATGGGGGGAGGGGGGGCAAGGTACACAACAGAATACTTGACCCTGCGTCAATGGATGACCTCTCCCAGCAATTTCATCTAAATGTTAAAAAAAGGGAAGGGAATAGAGACCTGGGGTGCTCCACACATAGAGGCCTCCAGACAGATCTCTCCTCCTTCCCTCCTGACTGGAACCTCTCCCTTAGGAAAGAGAAGAACCCCTGCAAAACAGTGTCCCACAGAGGCAGCCCAGAAGGATACCATGGCTGATAGTACCAAAAGCTGCTGAGGGATAGAGGAGGACCCAGAGGCCTGCACTGTCCAAAGGCCATCTATCAGCACAACCAATGCAGTTTCTGGCTGAACCCGGGCCTGAAGCCCAACTGCCATGGCTCCAGGTAGTTTGTTTCTTCTAGGGTCCTCCGAAGGGGAGATTAGAAACTGGTCTAAAGCTGTCCAAAACAGTCCCGTTGAGCGAAGGCTTCTTGAGCGGGGGCACTTCGGGGGTACAGATTCCTTGCTGCAGCTCCAGCAGCACACCTGCCTCGGATGCAGGGATCAGCGGCACGGCTTAGAGGAAGAGCAGGAGGAGGGCTCCCCCTCCTACCTGTCTCTGGGCGTCCCACCCCAGGAGCGATCTGGTCAACGATGCTCAGACGTGGGCTCTGGGCAAGGGCGCAGGCAGCTGAGCAGCACGGCCCACCCCAGGCCTCACACACAGGACTTTACGCTGGAGAATGGAGCCCCACCCTACAGCAGCCGTCCCGGAGCCCCCCTAAGCCTGCAGGGAGCTGCAGGCCAATTTGGCCGCACTTCTCCCGGCTGGCCCTGCGTGTCAGAACCAGAGAGGTGAGCGAGAAAGGGAAGGGCCACTTGGCAGAGTTCCAGCCCACCACCCACCCGCCACGGGGCCAGTGCAGTATCCTTCCCTAACCCCTTCCATTCACGCGCCTTCCGAATCCTGGCTGGCCGAAGCACCGGCTACTCACTGTTCAGCAGACTCTCAGGCCCTTTCTGGGTGTCCAGGTTGGGCTGATTCTGTTGGTTGTAAAACCTCAACAGACACTGCTGGTTGCAGAAATGCTTGATTTGACCTCGCCAGTGAATCGTTTCCAACAGCTTCCCCTGCCGCTTGCAAGCGTGGCACCGAGCTGCCTAAAATCCACCAGAGAGGGAGAGGGAGAGTTAGGCAAATCCACCAAGCGCAGGATCTGACTCTCATTGTAGTATCCCACATCTCACAGAGGTTCTGACTTTCCTATTAAAAAGCCAGTTTTTATTGACTTATTGGGCTTAGATCCTGGGCTGGGCTGATACCAACTGGACTGCGATCACTGGGAGCTGTCTCATTTGTACTCCGGTGCCACCAGCCACACCAACTCGGCCCAATAAATTGCAGAGCGAGGGGGATCCCATCCACCAGCTCAGGGTGAGGTGGCACATCAAGGGGCAGAAGGCCCATGTTAGAAGGAGTTTCAAAAGACTGAAATGAGCACCTTAAGCACCTGCAAGGTGCACCCAGCCCACATTTGGGCTCTAAACCCTTCTCAATGGACAAAGAAGACCTAAATCTCTGGTCCCACCACCTGGGGGAATTCTGAGGGCAACGGAGGGGGTGCTAGCAAGCCACATGCAGCTCCTGGGACTGGGTTTCTGCAGTCTGAAAAGGAACAGAAGACCTCGTGCTAAGCAGCATATCCAAAGAGAGGAGAGGGGAGGCTGAATGCTTTGAAGCTGGCAGAACAGCTCCTGGATCATCTTCTTAAGGCAGAAAATGCCTGATCCAGCCCATCTCACAAGAGATCGGGGGGTTAGGACCTGGAGAGTGACGTTGTCAGCAGCGGCCCCTCCCTCTAGGACCCTAAGGCCAGATCCCCCTTCCCTTTGGAGGGTTTTCCCTAAAAAGGT